AGCTGCACAAGTTAGCACAAGCTCCTGAAGTTAAGAAGAGTCGACGTCTTGACATCAAACCGAGCATGAAAAGACTAAGGTCTTTTGAATTTAAAAATGAATGTTTTGTACAAGTAGATAGGTATCGATATTGTCGAAACATTCAGAGAAAAATGGAAGGTAGGAGAATAAAATGTATAAGATAATAAATTCTTAATTTTTTTAGATTATTAATAAATAATAAATTTATGACGCCTAATTCCTTAGTAATATATGATATATATATAATTTTATCTTTATTTAATTATGTTTTAAGCTTCTATTTGACACTCTCTACTTTATTAGGAATATATGACAATAATAAATATTTTACTCTTACTTATAATCTCATTTTAGTCTTACAATAAAATATTTAATTTTAACTTTATTTTATTATATAATAATGTATTACAATAGAATCAAAATTGTTTAACATATTTTGATGTAGAGATAATTTATTAAAATAATTTAATGTACATTTTCAATTTACAGATTATTGAAAGTAATACATCTTTCACAAATTATATTATAAACTCACAAATATACATTTAATACATGTGTGTATTTGCATTCGATTTAACCTTACCATTTTTGTAAATGAAAGATGAATGGATATTTTCTATTAAATAATCTCTAATTACTAATAAAAAACTTATGTTTTTAAACGTTAATGAAATGTATTCTCTTTTGCATTTTGATATAAAAAAAATTATGTAATTATAAAAATATCAGATTTATTAAATGTGTATTAAAAAATGTATATTTTTTTTATTGTAGAGTATTAATATATTGTATTAATATAGTTTTTATTGTAGAGAAATTATAGTTTTTACTTATCTTCATAATAATCATCCACATTCCACAAACATGTATAATCCATCCAAGATTGTGAAGAGTCTGAAAATAAATAAAACAAATTAACGTGAAAAGACGAAATTGGGATCGTCTATAATTAACAGATAGATTTATCTACATTAGTCTTCTAAATATTACATGTAATATTTTATTGTTCTCTGTAAAAAAAACTGTAACTTACTTTGTTGATCGTATTAATAAGCGAGTTAGCGTACCCTTTTTTTTGTAAAAATGCCAATATTATTATAGATATTTTTACCTTTGATCTCCTTTTTTTTCTTTACAATCTATATAAGTCCTATACATTTCCACGAATATATATTACACGTAAACTGGATGTTTTCATTGGCTTTCGAGCACTAATGATCTACGCTACCGTCTCCCTACTTTTCATTTCGTATCTAAGTGTTTATCTATGCCATGTATCACAAACTAACCGACATTTCTGTTTGTACGATGTCAGTGTAGCCTATAAAATTTCCCTTTCGTACACCATGATATTAAGTTATTAACCTTGTGATATGCATAAGGTTCACATGTAAAATGTCACTCTCTGCTCTCATATGTCTTATTAATGATTAAAACACAATTTTTCATACACAGCGCTCGCGCGCCACAGCGAGGAATTTGTTTTATTTTTGTACTAAAAAAAAAAAAAAAATCTAATCTACCTGTAATTTTATACTGGGAAAAAGATGACAGCACCTGATTATAACTTATCCGTAATTCATGATATCATCATTCTTCGCGTATCTCCTCATCTCTCCTCTTACAATCAACGTAAAACGGGTGCAATTTTTTCGCCGTAGCGGCTCGTTAATCTCGGAGCATTTAACATCTAATCTCGATTATCATATAAAGTACGGAGAAGAGACGCGTACGGCGCGTGCTCGCTGAAACCCTTTGCAATTCTGTCGATTGTAAAGTCCCTCTTTTTTTCGTCGGGCGGACAGCAGTGTCCCCAGGAATTGTCATTGTGACGGGCAGAAAATAGTCAGCGGCGACGACCGGAACAAGTCAAGTCAATCATATCGTGAAATTTTCAAGAGAAAACACTTTCGCAACACGTGTTGTTTGTGTTAATTATTCGAAACGTTAAGATAATATTTGCACTATCGCGGTGACAGATTAATATCATCGCGAGGCATGAAGCACTGGAAGAGCCATGCGCCGGGCACGTTCTCGATTTATCTTATTGACATCACTATTGGAGCAGCTAAGAACTTAGTTTGCGGACCGGATAATAGTATGTACGTTCGCTTCGACGACAGTCGCCACCAGTCGGGGTAGTTTTACGGTAGTTTTTTTCCCCCCCAAGTCGCAATTATCCGGCAATTTAGACCCTTTCCCTTCGACAAATCGTCCTCTCACGACGAAGTGTGCTGTAATTTAGGAGTCATTTTTGCTCGTGGTGTATTATTAATACGGAAACTGCTTCTGATCCAGCGGGACATTCGATTTATTTTATATGTCCATCGGCATACGACGCTCATTGACGTTCTTAATTTATAAACTTTTATATTATGTTTTCCTACATTTTGCACGTGTCTCATATAACAATATTATCGCATCGGACGCTGAAAATATTTCTGGGATTTTTCTAGAAGAAATCAAACTCCCATGATTCAAATTTCTATTCTATCTTACGCATATATGTATTATATATCTTTCTTGCTTTTGCACCGTACAATGTATAATGACGTAAGAAATGTGTTTTACATTTTCTTGACTTACATACATCGACGTGACTTGTCCGTTTTG